GTATTTTTTATTTATTTTTTATAAAAATACATTGGGATTTTTCTTAAAGGGATTTTTAGGACTACATAAATATGATTAAATCATATTTTTATATATTTATATTTTCATTTATATTATAAAATCTAAAATTTATATTTATTATATTTATTAGTATATTAGATATGGTATTGTTAAAATTAAAAATTTAGGAATTTAATTATGCATTTTTTTTTCTTATTTTTGACTAAATATTAGATATATAATTATGAATTTTTTTTTTTTGTTATGTTTTAAAGTAAACATAATGCAATGTCTACAAAAAGTTATTTCTTTTCTTTGATTTAATAAATCTTTATTTTTAAGAAACTTAATAATATATAACTTTTCATGTAGGCACAAAGGTCATGGGTTATTTAAAGACCTAAAAGTTCTCATTTTTTTTTTTAAATAATTTCCATTTTACCATGGGGGTTTTATTGGTTTCTTTTAAAAGCCAAAAATATTTGGAGAGGGATATTTGGTTACGATACTCATTATTTTTGAAGGAAGACAAATGTTGGTTCCACCTTAATTTAAAATTATTTTAATGCTACCAATATAATTTTTTTTAATATTAGGATTCTCAAAAGATGAGATAGTACATTGGTAAACTATAGATTCTGTGAGACATTTATTATTCAATAGACAATTTATAGGATTTCTACAGTTACATAATTTTTCATTACTGTTATTTATTCTTATTTCTGGAGTACTATTTTTTTGTATTGTGGTGTAAGTATTTATTTAAAATTTTATTGTTTTTTTATAATTTTTTCTAAATTATCAGTATAACTATAACCTAATTTTAGGGTATTTTTTATTAAAAATTTTGCTAAGAGGATTATTTCTTTGAAAATGTTTTTCAATTAAAAGCAAGAAATTTATGTCCTAACTTACTACTAACCATTTGGTTAAACGGGTGTGTGTACCAAATGATTTTTCTATTTCTATTTCTTCTCTGGTTATTTTTATTATTATTTTTATATTTAATGTCAGGCTTTCTTTAAAGCTTTATTATAATAATTACTGTGTTCATAGAATATTCTTTCATTAGCAGAATTTATACTAATTTGTTTCCCAATGGATGAAGGTATATGCTTTATTATAGATGGGGGATGATTTGACTTCGGGTGGATATATAAAGGATTGGTATTTGGTTCGTTATAAAGTTGGCATATATTTTTCATTAAGTCTGATATCACATCGAGGAAGTTTATCTTTTTTCAATTTTGTATTAATAGTAACTTTTAAATTTAGGCACTAAAATTCTATGTATTGGTTTTCTAATCTTATCAATTTTGAAGTTTGTAGACTTCCTCACAACCATAAGGCCATCATCCCTATACAATCCAATATCTTCAATATTAATTTCACAGTGTGCACTGAGATTACATAAAATAAATAGACCAACAAGATTTGAAGACACTGCAGAGTCCAACAATCCCATTATAATATCAAAATGGTTTTCTGAATTTTTTATTTACTGTTCCTTATTATGAATGAGAACATATTTTTTTTTGCATTCATAATTATGTTGCTTTCCGCTTTAGATAGGTCAGAGTATACTGTGGCAAAATGTTCCCTTGATATTGATGGGTGATATTCTTCGATTTTGAACTGGATTCAGGTGCAATTGGTTTTATCCTTAATATTTGAAAGCCAATTGGTGACATCCTTGGGGTTAATCCATTATGCTCTACTCTGTATCGAGTACAGTTTTTAAAAATAAATGCTAAAAGAACTGTGGATTATAAATTTGGCTGGTCTTTTTTATTTTGAGATTATATGTGAGGAGACAAGAAGAAAAACTATACCTAGAAAACACGTTTTGTCCTCTGAGAGATTTTATATCAGGCAATGTAGGATTTATTGTTATACATGTTTATATACAAAGGCGAGGATGTCAAAGGTTTATCAAAGCTTATGAATATATGAATGTTCATCTGGTAGTTGAAAGGTCAGTGAAAGCATGTGAAGAACACAAAGTGGCATAATTCAATGTCTGGTAAAATGTAAAGTGATTAATATTCAAGAGGTTTCTCTTTTTTTAAATGACTTTTTTTGCACGATAAAGGCTCTCAGAAGATGAAACACATCAGCAAAGTAGTTTTTCCTCTTGTCTCTTTTTACTCATTTGGTGTCTTCTATAAATATACTATCTGAGGTCATTTATGCACACACACACACACACATATATATATATATATATATATATATATATATATATATATATAACAACAAAATCAAAGATTATGTCATGTGGAGGGAGTATAGATCTATTTCAATTGACAACCATACCTAGTCTTATTCAACCCCATTGTCTACACACCCCACCCCTATATGAGGTAATTTGAGATTTTGTTGTGCAATTTATATGCTCTGTTATTATAAATACATTGAGCTCTTTTTGTGGATCAGTTTTAATATTTGATATTACTAGGATCCACTTGGATTATATATCAATGGGTTTACTACCTGTACTTATATGATGTGTGTATGTGAATAAAAAAAAGACAAGAGGAGAACTATACTTAGTCTTAGCTAATGTGTTTCATCATCCGATGGACTTTATCAAGGCAAATGTAATGATTTTATTTATTTGTGAGCTACTCAATTTTTTTTAATTTAAAAGGCACGCATAAATATTTAGCAGCTGACAAATAGAAACTTGTTGCAAAATAAAATTATTACATTTGCCGTGATAAAGTCCATCAGATGATGAAATGCGTCAACTAAGACTAAGTAGTTTTCCTCTTGTCTTTTTTTATTCATTTGCCTCTTCTACAGACACACTATCTGAGAATATATATATATATATATATATATATATATATTAGGCAAATGCATGACAAAATAGAAAGAATTCAGTGTCACATGCTTCATCTTCTAGGACTTCATTGGACTAAAGTAATGTTCTTCAAAAATTTAAATGCAATGTCAATCATTATCTTCTGTCTTCTTAATTCTTATTCTTTTACTGTCCTCTCTCTTTAATAGTAGTTTTTATCTCATATTCTCTAACACTCAGTAACCCCCTTGTGTTCTAGTGGCTTAATTGCCTTTGATCTTTAAAAATTTAAATACAATGTCAATCATTATCTTCTTTCTTAATTCTTATTCTTTTATTGTCTTCTCAGCTTAATAGTATTTTTTTTCTCATTCTCTAGCACTCAGTACCTTGTTGCGTACTAGTGGCTTTAGTTTATAAATACAATGTCAATCGTTACCTACTGTCTTCTTGATTCCTCTTATTGTTCTCTCCTTAATGATATTTTCCTTTTCTTATTTATTCACACTCAGTAACCCTTTTAGAAAAAAAAAGAACATTTTGGCATTCCCATTAGTATTAATAAAAACCCTTTTATCACCAACAATATATCTCTGAAGAGGCGTTGTACAAAAAGGTTCTTTAGATACTTTTTTAGTATTAAGATGTTTTCATTAGTATTATTTAAAGCTTTGTTAAAATATATATATATATATATATATGAAGAAAAATTTGGAAAAAACAAACAAAAATCCTTAAATGCAACTATGTTGTTTAAAATGAATGAAATGTCAATTCAGTTCAATTTAAAAAAGACGATGGACATAAAAACAAGTCTTATCCAAAACAGATAACTGAAAATTTTAAAATGATCAGCTTTCCGTTTAACATGGTCACGTTGTCATCACATGGGCGACGCTTTCAAAAACGTATTCCTAAAAAATTTGTGATTATTTTGAAATGAAAAAAAGAAAATGAAAAGAATTCTATTAGGATCTAAAAATTTTATGTGTATGCTTGTCGAGCATTAATCTCGCTAAAAAAGGGAAATATTAAAAGAAACCATGTCTAGTATTATATGCATCGTGAGATGGATATTATACCTGCTTCATAAATCCTCCTGAGATTTTTATTATGAAAATATTTTAATACCTTCACGGAAAATCTCGTGTTTTTGAACATAAACGAGATATTCGCCTCGGAAATTTTAACAATGCTTTAGTTGTACACACAACTAAAGCAGATCATAATTTCAATTTCGATTCCGTGAAGGTATTCCGTGAAGGTGTTAAATTGAACTGAATTGTATTTTAATGAATATTGTCTTGAAAAAGGTTTATTAAACCGAAACGTCAGGCGTCGACATTTCATTCATTTTAAACAACATAATTGCATTTAAGGATTTTTGTTTGTTTTTTCCAAATTTTTCTTCATTCTGTCGGATTTATATCCATTTACATTTGCTTACACACACACACATATATATATATATATATATATATATATATATATGTGTGTGTGTGTGTGTGTGTGTGTTACTGCACTTTTAAAAAAAATAAACTAGACTGTTAAATAATACAGAATTCTTATTTCACACAGCACTCAAAAATCCCAAATATATTAGGATCTTTGATAAAATCTGAAGGAGAATCCACAATATTATTGGTCCTGACCTGGCATCTCAGCTTCAGTCACTTTCTCACTGCCATAATGTAACTTTCCTGTGCCTTTTCTATAAATACTTTCACTTTAATTGTTCAGATGAAATTTTCTTTATGGTACCATGACTTTATGAATTTAAGTTCAGTACTAAGATTGGTGGCATGGTGTCATCATTTTACATTGGAATGTTTAAATGTAACCTTAAGTAATATGCTAACATTTTCTCACACTTCTTGCTTGTGGAACTCTCTTCCAACTTCTTGCTTCCCAACCAAATTTAATCTTCAAAAATTCAAATGGAATGTCAATTGTTATCTGCTGTCTTCTCAATTCTCCTTCTTTGACTTTTCTCAGTTTTTTCATATTCTAACACTCAGTAACACCTTGCGTCCTAGTAGCTTTATTGCCTTTAATCTTCAAAAATTTAAATGCAATGTCAATCATTATCTCCTGTCTTTAATTCTTGCTCGTTAATAAGGTTTTTTTTCCTCAATCTTAATGGATCTGATGCAAATGTCTTTAGATTTAACATCCATGAAATCTGAATGCTCAGCTATAAATATTCATTTTCATAAATATTTGGTTTTTTTCGATATTCTTCAATTATTTCTGTCGCATATCTTTTCATATCAAAATTCAGTTTGTTTGCTTTCTGTATAAATGGATGATTTATCAAGTTCTTGTACTTAGATCGGTGATGTTTCTCTTTCTCTAAACTGAAAAGAAGAAAAAAAAAAGAAGAAAACATTCTTTTAAATATTTTGCATATAAATTTGAAGCAATTTTTTTTATGACTGCCCCCACCCACATCCAATCATAGAGTCATTGTAAACTTCATGATCCTTTCCTTAGCTGTATAATATTTGCTTTGCCAGGGTTATGTTTTTTCAATTCACCATTGTCCTTTGCCTGTACTCATCACACTCCCATAGTTGGAGGTCTTGAATTCAGAGTTGTTCTTCTCCTAAACCGGTTGCCACCCAAGGCCATAAGGCCCAGTCTGTCTACTATTTATCAATAACGGGTGGGGGGAGATGGATTCATACCTTTCCGAAGGGTATTTGCACATAAGTGAATGTAATGAACTCAAATGGAATTCAAACTCAGTTCTCCAGTTGTTCAATACAAGCCATTATCCATTACTCCGCTATGCCTCCAAGCAAATACAGTTGGGAATCAATTCAGATTTGGTTTATTTCACATTTGGAACCGACTTATTTGTAGCTTTTAACAGCAATCCCATTAGAATTTCAATACAAATATAATTAGACCTTCTCTAAGAGCAACTACATATACTAAAGATAAAACATAATTTTATTAAAGCCATTTTCTCTACCAGTTCTTCTCTGTGTCATGTCCATTCAAGATGTGAGCAATCATGTCTCTCCAGCTTCATATAGTTTGTATTTTTTTTTGTAGGCTTTGTCTTTTCACTATCTTATGAAACTACAGATATTCAAATGGAAAGGCAAGTGATGGTTTTATCTTTCTCTCAAGTGTTTCTATTTGATAAACCAGAGGATGGTTCCATTTGAAGTTTGGTCTTCTAAGCAGCATCTACTTTGACCGAAAGGGTAACATAAGAAGCAAATAACATAGAAAAGCAAAAGGTGGTTTTATCTTGCCCTCAAGATATTCTGAGCCATTATCCATTACACCATACTGAACTTTCAACAACAAAACTCTAGTGTGGTAAAAATTATCCTGAGGAGAAAAAATATGAGACTGGATAATAATTCAATAGATTTATTGAACATCTAACCCTGTGATTTGGTACAAAAACTCAGTCTGTTGGACATTTATTTAATATAAAAGATTATACTGCTTTCAGATCAGACTATGAGTACCATATAACTCCATACTATCTGATGCACAGTTGGGTTATCAGTAACTAAACCAGTTCCTCCACCAGGCTTTTCTGGTGAGGAGGGTGATTCGATACCCAGCAGAATTAAAAAAACAAGACCCATCAAAAAGTCTTTCTATTAATACATTTTTATATTATACTTTTATATTAAAGAGGTCAGGACACTGTCAACAAATCCTACTCTTTAGATCCAATGTGTTTTTTTACATTAAGGATTTCATGTAATATTCAATATGCACAAATATTAAACACCACAAATACTTTTACAATTAATTTGAAACTATGACATCTGACAGGTATGGAGGATGAAGTATAACTTTCTAGCCTAGGGACTTTATCTTTTGCAATTCTTTTCCTGAGTGAGTTGTTGCATTTGCAAGATTAAAGAGGTCACCCTCTCTGTTTAATACAGTTGGACATTTTGGTTATAATTCAACCACTGATACTTTGAGTTGTTGGCAATAAAAGTCTGTGGTGATGATTTCTGTACAATTAAATTGAAACTTAGTTGACAATACTGGTCAAGTGTTATCAGATTCATAGTAAAGATTTGTAAAATATTATGTTTGTAAAAGGTCTCAAGAATTCTTTAATATAAAAAACTTGGATTTACAGAATAGGGCTTAGTGTAGATCTCATTAAAGACATACAAACAACTAACGTAAAAGCAAGAGAAATAAGATGAAAGAAATACTAGTGAAAAATGAATAATAATTGCCAAGGCTTTATCTAAGAAATTCAGACAATTTAAGACTATTACTACTTGGTGGAAAAGCAAGAGAAATAAGATGAAAGAAATACTAGTGAAAAATGAATAATAATTGACAAGGCTTCATCTAAGAAATTCAGACAATTTAAGACCATTACTACTTGGTGGAAAAGCAAGAGAAATAAGATGAAAGAAATACTAGTGAAAAATGAATAATAATTGACAAGGCTTCATCTAAGAAATTCAGACAATTTAAGACCATTACTACTTGGTGGAAAAGCAAGAGAAATAAGATGAAAGAAATACTAGTGAAAAATGAATAATAATTGACAAGGCTTCATCTAAGAAATTCAGACAATTTAAGACCATTACTACTTGGTGGAAAAGCAAGAGAAATAAAATGAAAGAAATACAAGACAATAATTAATAAGAAGAAATAGTTATCAATAACCAATAGATACTTACCATTGTTGAATGAAATTTTCAAAGACAACAGAATATTTTCCTTTGGCTAATTTCGGCGGTTCACCCTTTACAATCTGCTCGACTAGTGCAAATGGGTTGGCTGAAAGCTTGTAAGGGTAGCAACAGTTTCCTAATTCCACCTAGGAAAAGTCAAGAATGATCCAAAAATAAGTTGGAAATAAAAAAAATTTGATATAAGAAATAGAATTGTGGTGATAGAGAAATAAATTAGTAAAAATAAATAAGATCAAAATTTCACCATCTGAATGAATTGCAAATTATTTTTTAAAAATCTTTATTTAACACATTAATTCAGCATATTTTTTTTTTAATATGATCTCTGTGTTGTGTTTACATTGCAAAAATATAATTTGACACAATTTCTGCAAAGTGCATCATTAAGTTTGTCAGGTTCAAATTTATTAAATACAAAAAAATTGGCTCAATTCATTCTGTCATTTAAATGTAAAATAACATTTAAATTGAGTTTATTTGCAAATAGAAACTTTTTCTCAGCTCATATTTCAAGCTAACCTTAAAAAGGCATATCATGGTTGTGGTAGTTGTTGTTAACTGTAGAATAACAACCTATTTAAAGAACACTTTCATGCTATATACCGTTTGTGCAAAAAGAAAAAAAAATCTAGCTGTGGAAATACACATCCTTCTTAAAAAAAAATCCAAACGTCCTCAATTGGCATGAGCCCAAGTATCACTTCCCCATTAAATTTTATTTTTAATTACGGCAGTTTAATTAAACAATAGAAGTTTTGAATAAAGATTTTATTTAGAAAATAACCTGCAATTCATTCAGATGCTTTCTCCTAAATTTTTAAAAATCGAAGAAAGATCCATATTTGTCTAGAATTTTAAGCTTTATAAGAGTTATTATTTTGTAACAAGTCTATCTTAATTTCTAAAAAGTTTGCAAGACCGATTAACTCCCTTGCTTAAACACAGTGTTAACATGTAAACAGCATTTTGTGTAAGACCCAGCAGTGAGCTGCAATCTAGGGGCCTTAGCGGTCCCATTATAGATTTTTATAAAAAAAAAACAATTAGCCTAGTAACAAACTGGTTGTTAGTTTAACATGTATACAAAATTTCATCAATACTGGTTCACGGGTTTAGCCGGCAACTTGATTTAAACAGACGGACAAATTACCATCTATATATATAAATTTACTTCTTCCTGGATTCTCTCTTTCTCTTTTATATGTCAGGACATTTACATTTGAACTTTTGAGACTTCAACTTTCACCTTGTCCTTCTGTATTATTATATTGTGATATATAAAGATTTATATTCTATTTATCAACATTTTTTTTTGTCATTAAGCATGGCCAATTTAGACCCAAATCATTTGTACCAATATATGGTGGAAATGGATGATTTTGTAAGATAAACAACTTATCCATAACTTATAACCTTTAATGCTATGGTAAATAAAGCTGTTAGTAATTACTAGTGAAAAGTACTTGAATAGTAATTACAGTGTCTAAGAAAAAAAAATTGGCAAAGTTTAACAAACATATTGAAAAAAAAAAAAAAAGGATGAATCAAAAAACGTTTTTACTCTTAACATCATTATTACTGTTGTACGCCCTCAGCAAATTTTATTATTTAAAAAAAAAAAAAAACTGTCTTTAAAATTTTAATAAAACCCAAACATTGTTATATAGGAATAAATAGTCACTGCAGACACTTGGGTTTGAACATGGATCGCCAGAGAGCAAGCACAGTCGACCTCATCTAACTAGGTAGATCACGTGACGCATAACAAAAAAATATCTATATATGGGAATTAACAGTGTCTGACCGAGCATTGTTTGAAGGCGTTAGTATTATCGTATCTGTGATTTACATTTTGTTGGAGAAATTAAAAGGTCAAAGCTTAAGGTAATGGTCAAATTATCTTATTTGACCTTTGAACAAAAAATAAATAGATCATCTTTTAGTTCAAGCCAAGTTCTTTAAAATTGTATTTAATTTAGGTTTGTAGGTGAAAATACAACCGAGATATTGATATTTAAACATTTGACTATTTTCCAAAATTAATCCATAGCTGAGGGGAGAAGAGGTAGACTCATACCTAATCAGAATTTGCTAAACAAACACGAAATTATACTGTGGATATAAGGTGGGGGATCAATTTTACATTACAATCAATATATTAACTGATCCCTCACTATATGTCTTATATAAAGTAAGATTTTTTTTCTCTATTATTCAAATCTAGGAATTCCTTTGTATTCTATTCCTAAATGGCAAAAAAAAAAAAAAAATCCGTGTTGGTGATGGTCAAACCCTTGTTGATTTGATACGGAATGACTCATATTCCATTCGCGAGATGTAAGTTCCACTTGAACAATTTTTTTCCAGTGAACTGCTACACTGTGGAACTGACTCCCAAGAGGATGTTTTACCAATCATTACAATCTTAATGTGTTCAAGTCTAGGGTTAACCATTATCTTTCACTCATATCCTCATAACCTGTGTCTCTTACCTCTTAAACTATAACCCTTTAGCTTGAGCGGCTCTTGCGCCTTATACAGAGTGAACATTATTGTAAAAAAAAAAAAAAAAAAAATTGTTCTTGCAATGCAAAATAGGTATGGGCTTTTAATAATCCACAAGTGGTTGATAAGCAGTAGAAACAATCAACAACTGTTACAGCAGATATCAACCTTACAAAGTAGCCTTCACTTTGAGTGGCCCTTGGGCCTTATATTAAGCTGACCTTTAGTGAAAAAAAAAAAAAAAATGAAAAGAAGTTGATTCTTTCTAATAAACATTGTAGTTTACCTCAGACAAATTAACAATAAATAAAAGTAACAAGATTAAAAATTGTTTTAAATTAAACAATTCAAACATGAAGAAAAACTAAATTTAGAAAAGCTTACCAATGTAATACCAAGGCTCCAAACATCAGATCTGGTATCATAATCCGAGCTACTTAATCTGGGGTCAATTCGTTCAGGCTAGAATAAAAACAACATATGAAGAAAGTTATTTTTAAAAGCATTTTACAAAAAAAGAGTAATATTCTATCAATAATGCTTGCCTTCATTCCTGACCACTGACAATCCCTTTCTTCTTCATTTTCAATGCATTCCTATAGTAAAATCATTAGCAATGCATTTCCATTATACATATAACAGCCCTATTCTCCTGACCACTGACAATCCCTTTCTTCCTCATTTTCAATGCATTCCTATAGTAAAATCATTAGCAATGCATTTCTATTATACATATAATAGCTCTATTCTATCAGTAATGCTTGCCTTCATTCCTGACCACTGACAATCCCTTTCTTCCTCATTTTCAATGCATTCCTATAGTAAAATCATTAGCAATGCATTTCCATTATACATATAACAGCCCTATTCTCCTTGACTAATCAACAATAGTGAAATTTGAATCAGCGTCTTGTGGTTGTTATACTAATATTCTAGTTACTGGGCCATGCGCCACCCATACATATAAACATACACTGTTATATTTGAGTATTTATGCAACAATCTCTCTGTGATACAGGTTTCATTAATAATGACTGACAAAACAATTTTGTGTAACTTTTTTTGTTATATTTTTCTTGGATGCAAACCAGACATTTCTTTTTTGGACATAATGTGTGTAAAAGTAGTACACACACACACACACACACACACACAGGATCCCTTTCTAAAGCCCTTCATTATTTTCAATAAATAAATACATAAAAAATTCATCAAATTAAAATAACTATAAACAATACTTTCATTTATTGGACATTAAATTACATCACTTAGCAGCTGCCATAGTTTACCTTGACTTTCACAGCCTGAGGTATATTTATGACCATTCTTAAATTTCAAAATTTTGTAAACCTAACAATATTTTTGCTTCCATTTATAAAGACTTGTTGCAAAATAAAATCCTTACATTTGCCTTGAAAGAGTCCATCAGAGGACAAAACACATCAGAAAAAATGTATGGTTTTCCTTTTGTATACATGCACTCATATAAAAAGGTGGCTCTGAAAAGTTCTTTGGATTGACCAAAAAGAGATTTAATAGAAAAAAAAATCTGTTTTGGGTCATAAATTTTTCAAGTTTCTCCTTTACATATATATCAGCAGATTATCTGTTAAAAATATATTATTTAGGTTTAGAATGACACTTCCATGTTGTAAACAGTAATAAAAAGAAAATAAATAATGAAGCATATCTAATTTCTGTCCCATAATTGGTGGAGTATTTGTATATACATTTCTTGTAGTAATTGTATGAACTGTTAGAGGACAGAAGTAGTATTAATCAAAAAAGGAAAAGAGAAAAAGAGGAAAAAAAGAAAAGGAAGAAAAAGAAGAAGAAAAAGAAGAAGAAGAAAAAGAAGAAGAAGAAAAAAAGAAGAAGAAAAAAAGAAGAAGAAAAAAAAAGAAGAAGAAAAGATTGAAGAAAGAAGAAAAAGAAAGAAAAAAAGAAAAAGAAAAAAAGAAAGAAAAAAAAAGAAAAAAGAGAAAGAAAAAAAAAAGAGAAAGAAAAAAAAAGAAGAAAAAAAAAGAAAAAAAAAAGAGAAAGAAAAAAAAGAGAAAAAAAAAAAAGAAAGAAAAAAGAGAAAGAAAAAAAGAGAAAGAAAAAAAAGAAAAAAAAAAAAAAAAAAGAAAGAAAAAAAAAGAAAAAAGAGAAAAAAAAAAAAAAAAAAAAAAAAGAAAAAAAAAAGAGAAAGAAAAAAGAAAAAAAAAGAAAGAAAAAAGAAAAAAGAAAGAAAAAAGAAGAAAGAAAGAAAAAAGAAAAAAGAAGAAAGAAACTCCAAGAAGTTTTTCCTTACAGCCATGTAAGCTTTGCATCCAGCATCTTTGGTTTGTGCAATGGAATCAACGAGAGGTCCACTGATACCAAAATCACAGATACGTACGACACCATCAGAGTTGATTAAAATGTTGGATGGCTTAACATCTCTGTGAATTATTTTGAGCGTTTCTTTCAGATAGATCAAACCACTAAGAACCTGGAAAAAAAAAAATTAAAAAATTGTAAAAATATCAAAATATTTGTCATTATGGCGTTAGTTTTTGGAATAGCAAAATGAAAGAGGTGCTTGAAATTTGGTTGATAACTGAGAAAAATAAGGTTACAGAAAGTTACAGAGATGCTCATCTGAAAAACAAAACTTAAGATAGATGCATGAAGAAGCCAGAGGGTAAAACAGTCAAATTTTAGGTGAGACCCACCCAGTCCTTAACTCTTCAGTCTTGATAGAGTCCAAAAGTTTCCCAAGCCCTTGTGGGGGACAAATTATTTCCCACTCTCCAACCTCACTCTCACAGACAGCATGTGGCAAGCCACTCACTACTCTATCACTAATTCCATCGAAAGTGCTCAGATGAACTGCATTCCTTGGTTCCACCATTTCTAACCTTCATGGCTAGGACCCGCAATGTCGCATTGTAACAAACCAACCACATTCCCTTTGTATTCCATTGGTGAGAAGAAGTTCTACTCAAACAGCTTCTTCCCATGAATCACGGCTCTTTGAAACTAACTCCAAGGAGAAATCCTCCGCCACTGATCATTACCATGATTTTCCTCTCCTATCTGTATAAACTGCTTCTTACTCTGTAATGCTCTACTTCAAGTGTCCTCGGGGCCGCCTTGTCCAGGGTAATCTTCTTTGTAAAAAAAAAACATTATAAGCATAACAACCTGGAGGAGCATAAGGACCCGAATATGAAAAATAAAGAAAAAACAGAATATATAAAAAAGTAGACACCTGAAGATGTTCACAGTGTACAACAGTCGAAACATTGTGAACATAACTAATTCTGGTTTTACTCTTGAATCTTGAATACACGCATGCGGAGGGGTATGTTCAATTTTGCTCTGTACTTAGAGAGGGAAACCACTCAGGAACACTGCATACTTTTAAGCAACCCCTTACAATCCGAATAATGTAAATAGTGTACATAATACCTCATCTCAGAAATATAGACAGATAGCAAGGTATATGTTTATTACAATTAAACATTGTGTAGTATCTATTGGTCTTAAGAGACCATGAATATGCACCCCAAGTGCAAGTTGGTGCTTTTTTTTGTTTTGTTTTTTTTTACGAGAGATCAGCAGTTGCCCATGCAGCACATATTCCCTCTACATGCCACCAACGTTATCCAAGGGAAAAACAGAGGCCAATACAGCTTGCTACCAGTATCATTGCAGAAGTTGCCAGAACAAAATTGAATATGACATCAGACTGTCTTAGGGACTTCAGCTTCAGATTTGAATTCAGAGTGGTCCTTCTCCTAGATCACTTGCCACCCAAGGCTATAGGACCCAGTCTGTCCTGCTATTTAATCTATAGCTAGGGGAGAAGAGATGGATTCATACTTTTCCCAAGGGTATTAGCATTTGAAAGTTAAAGATTCCCCACTTGCTTTTAGCCTTGCCAGCAATATTTGTCTGGCTAGCAGTTGCATTACATTGAAAATATTGAAAATTTAATAAAAAAAAAAAAAAAAAAGAAACATTTTTATGAGATAGAATTTTTTTTTTTAATCTAGTTCAACCCATGCAAGGCAATAAAGCCACTGACACACAAGGGGTTACTGAGTGTGGAAGGGTTAGAAACAGAAGCATAGCTAAGAAGTGAGAACAAAGGAAGAGTAAGCAGGAGGAGAGTAGATAGTGATTGAAATTGCATTTAAACTTTTGAAGATTAAAGTTGACAGGAAAGCATGAAGCCGGGACAGAGTTCCATAAGCAAGAAATGCAAGGAAAAAATAAATAAATAAAAGCTGTTGGCATGAAATTTACAGCTACATCGTTAACTCAACTGTAAATTGGTAAGACCTCTTTGTCACTCTAGTACTGTGCTTAAATTCAAATCGTCCAAGTACCATAGTGAAGAGCTCATCCAAACAATTATTTATAGAAAATGCATAGGGAGGCAACCTTACAGTGATGGGAAAGTGATTGAAGCTGAGATGCCAGATCAGAACCAATAATATTGCTGATTCTTCTTTGGATCATATCAAGGATCTCTGGATATATAGCAGGAGCACTGGACCATATCTGGCAGCAATATTCTAAGCATGGATGAATGGTAGACTTATAGATATGTCAGATAGATTCTGGAGCCTGAATGGCCATTCTTCTAGATCCTTTCATACTAATGAGATCTTGATACCAGCCTAGTACTGTGCTTAAATTCAAATCGTCTAGGTAACATAGTGAAGAGCTCATCCAAACAATTATTTATAGAAAAGGCAACCTTACAGTGGTGGGAAAGTGACTGAAGCTGAGATGCCAGATCAGGACCAATAATATTGCTAATTCTTCTTTAGATTTTATTAAGGAGCTGTTGGGAAATAGCAAGGGCACTGGACCATATGTAGCAGCAATATTTGAATCATGGACGAATTGTAGACTTATAAATATGTAAGATAGATTCTGGAGAGCAAAACTATCAGTGAACCAACTTTCTTAACAACTGACCTATATACAAATAAAATGAAAGACGTCTGGGAATTAAAAAAACTGAATATTTCTTGTATCATTTAATGAGAGCAGAAATGGAAAATATTTTAGCCAACTCAATACTTACTGAAAATGTAACTTTCGATAAGAATTCTTCTGGAATCGTCTGGCCTAATTCTTTTGCTTGCAAGTAGAATCTCTCCAAGGATAAATCCATAATCTCCATACAAATCCAGACATCACCCTGCAAAGTCCAATAGAAATGTTGGAATATTAAAATGATTAAGAATGCCTTTGATTCCACACTCAATCAAACACTATATTTGCAATTAAAATTAATAATATTAAATTATCAGATCACAGCATCTATCAGAGAGATGAAATTTAAATTTTATTATTGCATTATTCCAAAATTTTAACAGATCAACAGATAGATATTAATATCAACAACTGATCACAAATAGTTTTAATTAAAAAAATGAGTAATTAATGTACAATATTATCCATAACTACATGTACAAGAATGTTGTTTTTGATGAAAATTAAAAAATAACCATAAATACGCAAAAATGTGTACATTTTTGCAAATTCCTTTTTCCACAATATAGCTATTTGTGCTACATTATAAAGCTTATTACCTAAATAATAATAATAATGAATCATTTTTTTAAACATTAAGGTATATTTAATCTTCCTAGTAGCTGTCATGATCTTTAAACAAATGTATATTATAAAAAATTGTCTTCTGCTTGTAAATGGTGTTGTTAGTATTATTCTGCAAAAATGGCACCACTGTAGCAAAGCAATCCTGTTAAAATGCTTTAACTTGAATAAGGGATAAGAAAAGAAAAGATTTCTAATCATGGGCGAAACTAACACAACAGGGCCCAGCCAAGTTTAGAACATCCATAAAGTAAAAAGTGGATGATAGATGATGTTATTGATTGATTTGTTTTTTTATCACAGCTTAACCCTTTACAGGTTATTTAAAACTAAAAACTATTTTTAGATTGCAAGAAATGTTTTTGAGATAATAATGGTTTAGTGATACAAGTCTTACTAATTAATCCATAGATGGAGGAGAAGAGTTGCATTCATACCTAATCAGAATGGGATAAACAAATAAGAAATTATAATGTGGATATAAAATGGGGGATCAATTCTGTATTATAATTAATACAGACACTGATCCCTCACTTTGTGGCCAATGTTATTTCTATACATGTATATATTTCCGAGAATATAACTAAGTCTAAAAGACATGCATGCATAGTTAATCAGTATTTGATTGACTCATTCATTGATTTTCTATGGTTTATCAAGGTTATTTAAAGCCAGAAAATATTTTTAGATTGTGAGAATTTTTTTTTTTTGAAGATAATAATTAATGATTTAGTGATAAAAAACTTTAATTAACCCATAGCTGGGGGAGAAGATGTAGACTGATACCTAATCAAAATTTGCCAATCAAACAAGAAATTATAATGTGGATATAAAGTAGGGGATCAATTCTATATTACAATCAATATATTACCTGATCCCTCACTATGTAGCCTATGAAGAATAATTTTTTTTCTCTATTATTCAAATCTATGAATTCCTTTGTATTCTATTCCTAAATTGCAAAGATGCCCACAATGGAATTTCCATGGGTCCTGCTAGTAATGGATAGGCCACTATTTAAAACTATAAAGAATAAGATTTCTTTTTTTTCTCTATTATTCAAATCTATGAATTCCTTTGTATTCTATTCCTAAATTGCAAAGATGGCCACAATGGAATTTCCATGGGTCCTGCTAGTAATGGATAGGCCACTATTTAAAACTATAAAGAACTTATTTTTTTTTTTTTCTATTATTCAAATCTATGAATTCCTTTGTATTCTATTCCTAAATTGCAAAGATACCCACAATGAAATTTCCATGGGTCCTGCTAGTAATGGATAGGCCACTATTTTAAAATATAAAGAATAAGATTTTTTTTTTCTCTATTATTCAAATCTATGAATTCCTTTGTATTCTAAAAAAATTGCAAAGATGGCCACAATGGAATTTCCATGGGTCCTGCTAGTAATGGATAGGCCACTATTTAAAAATATAAAGAATAAGATTTCTTTTTTTTCTCTATTATTCAAATCTATGAATTTTTTTGTATTCTATTCCTAAATTGCAAAGATACCCACCCCATGGGTCCTGCTAGTAATGGATAGGCCACTATTTAAAAAATATAAAGAATAAGATTTTTTTTTTCTCTATTATTCAAATCTATGAATTCCTTTGTATTCTATTCCTAAATTGCAAAGATGCCCAGAATGCAATTTCCATGGGTCCTGCTAGTAATGGATAGGCCACTATTTAAAACTATAAAGAATAAAAGATTTTTTTCTCTATTATTCAAATCTATGAATTCCTTTGTATTCTATTCCTAAATTGCAAAGATACCCAGAATGGAATTTCCATGGGTCCTGCTAGTAATGGATAGGCCACTATTTAAAACTATAAAGAATAAGATTTCTTTTTTTTCTCTATTATTCAAATCTATGAATTCCTTTGTATTCTATTCCTAAATTGCAAAGATACCTACAATGAAATTTCCATGGGTCCTGCTAGTAATGGATAGGCCACTATTTAAAAATATAAAGAATAAGATTTCTTTTTTTTCTCTATTATTCAAATCTATGAATTCCTTTGTATTCTATTCCTAAATTGCAAAGATGGCCACAATGGAATTTCCATGGGTCCTGCTAGTAATGGATAGACCACTATAATTACCATTTGCATATTCGGGATGATAGAAATTAGCTTCACTTTGTGCAAACCAAATTTACTTACCTCATGTAATAAGGCGCCATAAAATCTGACTGTGTATTGACTGTCGGCAAGTTTGGAAATATCCAAATCCCTACATATACTTTTTTGTTTGTCAGCATCAGATGTTATAAGCTTCAATTTCTAGAGAGAGAAAAAAAAGGTAAAAACATTTAATTTCACAAATCTAAAAAAAAAAAAAAAAAAAAAAAAAATAAAAAATAAATAAATAAATCTTTTTTCTTAATTTTAAAATTAAAAAAAAAATGAATTAATAAACTGCAGAAAATTTCTTTTGAGTGTGAGTCAATTTAATAAAACTTGGTAAGGGGAAATAACTCTAAATAGCTTCACCACTTAGGAAATTTTGTAAAATTCATCTTTTTTTTTGGCTGATTTTACCAATTATGTACCAGCTCCAAATTCTTACTATTTCTTATAAAGACTCAAAGAGAATATTAGGTAAATATTTGAAATTCTAACAGGAGTTCTTATCAACATTATAAAAACTGTTTATACCTATGTACACATTATTATTGGTTTTATCACTACATTACTAACAGAACTAAAAGGATTGTCCATGGTCAAGAATTGAAGCAATCATTACTGAAAGAAAGGAGATATTCTATGTATACTGGAAATACATTGCTAATGATTTTACTATAGTAATGCATTGAAAATGAGCAAGAAAGGCATTGTCAGTGGTCAGGAATGAAGGCAAGCATTACTGATAGAATAGGGCTATTATATATATAATGGAAATGCATTGCTAATGATTTTACTATAGGAATGCATTGAAAATCAAAAAGAGAGGTATTGTTAAGGGTCAGGAATGATGACAAGCCAAGAAAGGCATTGAATATATATATATATATTTTCATACATGTTTCATTAAATAATATAGACAAGTGTTGTCTATTTATTTTATGTAAATTTTTTTTCATAACGTCTGATAAGTTTAATAACATTATCGTTGAACGAAGAAAGAAATTCACAATATTGATCCATATTTTTTGGGAGAGAAGAATCATTGCGAAGAATTAAGTTGGATATACTAGATTTAGTGTAGTATATGATTAATTTAATTTTTTTGCTAGGAACTGTAGTTTTTGTAACCATCAATCCACCTAAGATATGTTGAACTCAATACTAATAATAAAATCCCCTTCCTTGACATATTGATAAACACAAATAATAACAAATTTACTATTTCGCCATATAAAAAACCTACAAGCATAAATTCATGTACACTTAACTACAAGAGCGAATGCCCATATTACTACAAAATAGCAATTATAAAGAATCTAATACATCGTGCAGAAACTAATTCATCCACAAAACAGATTTTTTACCGTGAACTAAAGAATATAAAACAAATACTTAATAATAGCTTTCCAAACTATATAGTTGATGAACAAATAAGATGCTTTCTTGGAAATCTCAATACTAAGCAAATTGTACATAATACTGCTTCTACTAATCTCAAACATATTAATCTCCTATATCGTAATCAAATGCATACTAAATATAAACAAGATGAAAATATACTAAAAAATTTAGTAAATTCTAATATATCAACTACAGATCCTAGCAAAAAAATTAAATTAATCATATACTACACTAAATCTAGTATATCCAACTTAATTCTTCGCAATGATTCTTCTCCCCCCAAAAATATGGATTAATATTGTGAATTTCTTTCTTCGTTCAATTATAATGTTATTAAACTTATCAGACGTTATGAAAAAAATTTACATAAAATAAATAGACAACACTTGTCTATATTATTTAATGAAACGTGTATGAATGAAAAGATGCTGCCTAAATACACACTATATATATATATATATATATATATATATATAGAGAGAGAGAGAGAGATAGAGAGAGAGAGAGATAGATAGAGATAGATAGAGATAGATAGATAGAGATAGATAGAGATAGATAGATATGTATGTGTGAAAGGAATTTACCTTGACTGCCATTACTTTCTGTGATGGTTTGTGTAGCATTTCAAAAACCATGCCAAAAGCACCATGTCCAATGACTTGCTTCTGAATCAATTCATTAACATGACATTGAATTGTTTCACCATCAATTTTACAACACATTTCCGAGTTCAGACCATGAAGGGAAGACCTAGGAAAAAAATTAAAAAAATGTTATCCAAATAAAAAAAAAAGCTAAAAAGAAAACCATCAATTCATATCACAGGAATTGTGTCCGAAGGTAATGGAAAAATTATTAGCCCTAGATATCTAAAAGGCTTTGAGAAGCGGGTCAGGTAGAAAATTTCTTAGCACCCTCCTCCCAACAACACTTTCACTGCATTCATCTTCTCAGTGCCAACAACCTTGTCAAAAAGAAATCCATCGACTCACTTAACTAAGCATTGCCTTTGTATTTTCATTAGAAGGCATGTTTTTACTGATTGAAGTTTCCAGTACAGCACTAAACTGGTTTTGAATTCAGAGTTGGCCTTATATTAGACTGGTGGCCAATCAAGGCCAGAGAGAAAAGTCTTCACTGCACTTTTACATATAGTCACTAACAATATTTAATTCATATGAGTATAAACTTAGTTTGCCAAAAATAAAGGGGCAGAGAAAGATTAGGGATGAAAACAAGGGTGATAAAGAGGGAGCAAGGATGAAAGCATGGGCAAGAAAGGGAGGAGAAAAATATGAAAGCGAGAGAGGGAGGGAGCAAACATGAAAGCAGGAGAGAGAGAGAGAGAGACAGTGAGAAAAATCATGACACAATCTTCCTGCTTCCATTTGGCATTGTGCTATACTAAACTAAGCTTAGTAAATACTGATCGCATGTAGAAGGGATGATTTTCAATGCAGGTAGGCCCTCCCCATTTGGAAGTTTGGCACAACACAATCTTCCTAACTCCATTTGCCCTTCTGAAATACTAAACTAAGCTTAGTAAATACTGAGCCCAAATAAAAAACAAGGATTAAGAAAAATGATGTTCAAGGCAGGTAGGCCCTCCCCATTTGGAAGATGAAAAACAACACAATCTTCCTAACTCCATTTGCCCTTCTGAAATACTAAACTAAGCTTAGTAAATACTGAGCCCAAATAAAAAACAAGGATTAAGAAAAATGATGTTCAAGGCAGGTAGGCCCTCCCCATTTGGAAGATTGGCACAACACAATCTTCCTAACTCCATTTGCCCTTCTGAAATACTAAACTAATCTAATTTAGTAAATACTGAGCCCAAATAAAAAAACAAGGATTAAGAAAAATGATGTTCAAGGCAGGTAGGCCCTCCCCATTTGGAAGATTGGCACAACACAATTCCTAACTCCATTTGCCCTTCTGAAATATAAACTAAAGCTTAGTAAATACTGAGCCCAAATAAAAACAAGGATTAAGAAAAAATGATGTTCAAGGCAGGTAGGCCCTCCCCATTTGGAAGTTTGGCACAACACAATCTTCCTAACTCCATTTGCCCTTCTGAAATACTAAACTAAGCTTAGTAAATACTGAGCCCAAATAAAAAACAAGGATTAAGAAAAATGATGTTCAAGGCAGGTAGGCCCTCCCCATTTGGAAGATTGGCACAACACAATCTTCCTAACTCCATTTGCCCTTCTGAAATACTAAACTAAGCTTAGTAAATACTGAGCCCAAATAAAAAACAAGGATTAAGAAAAATGATGTTCAAGGCAGGTAGGCCCTCCCCATTTGGAAGATTGGCACAACACAATCTTTCTACATCCATTTAGCCTTGTACTATACTAAACTAAGCTTATTAAATACTGGTAAGCTTGGCACAATTCACACAATAACACAGAACGACATCCCACATGTAATCACAGTAGAGGAATGGAAACAGTATATTATAAACCCCAACATAAAGGCCAAGAATGCTAACCTCCAATTCTATTTCTTTTAGTGCTGGGTCGGAATCTATGGGATTAAACAATTCTCATTTTCTTTTTAAATGAATTGTACAAAAGCTGAAACATGGCTGAAAAGTATAAAAAAGATACTACAGTTTACCTAATGTTTGAGCTGTGATCAAAAGAGCCTCAAATTTAAAGGTGTAAATTCAGTATATAGGTTTAGTGAGTGGATTGACTATACATGTTGGATTACCATTACCATACTGAGCCACCATCGTTGGACCAGTGATAGTACTCCACTGTTGTAGTGTGGGAATCACCAAGAATAGCTTCACCACAAGACATGAACATAGCAGAGGAATTGGAATGGATGAGGTTTAAGTTCAGCTCAAAAGGTAAGAAAGCAGGAAGCTGACCTAAGGAAATAAGTGAAAAGAAGATCCCAGTTTGAAAACTAAGAAAGCAGAGAGGTGATCCAAGGCCAATCAGAATGAAAGAGATCCAAGTTTTAAAGATAGGAAAGCAAAGAGCTGATCCAAGGAAAATTGGAGGGAAAAATATTTTAGTTCAAATACTAAGAAAGATGTGAGCTGATGAAGGCTAATCAAAGGGAAAGAGATCACAACTCAAAAGCTAAGATAGCAGAGGAGGGCTGATCCCCAGAAAAGTAGCCGGAAAGAGATCCAAACTAAGAGTGACCTGATTCAAGGTAAATTAGCAAGAAAGAGTTCCCAACATAAAAGCTAAGGAAGCAGGGAGCTGATTTAAGAAAATAAAAGCTTTCTCTTTTCCTTTTATTTCCTTGGATCAGCTCTCTGCTTCATTAGCTTTTGAACTGGAATGTTTTCCCTCCGATTGGCCCCGGATCAGCTCTCAGTTTCATTAGCTTTCGAGCTGGAATAGTTTTTCCTTCAATTTTCCTTGGATCAGCTCTTTGCTTTCCTAACTTTAAAACTTGGATCTCTTTCCTTCTGATTGGCCTTGGATCACCTCTCTGCTTTTTAGTTTTCAAAACTGGGATCTGATTTTAACTTTCCTTAGGTCACATTCTTGCTTTCTTTTTTGAATTGAATTAAACCTCATCTATTCCAATTCCTCTGCTATGTTCATGTCTTTTCTTGTGGTGAGGCTATTTTTGATTGAAAGCTAAAAAAGCAGAGTGTTCATATAAGGCCAATTGTGGGAAAAGATTCTTGCTTGAATGCAGAGAGGTGGTCCAAGGCCAACTAGAGGGAAAAGATTCCAGGTAGTCCAAGGCCAACCAGAGGGAAAAACATTCCAGCTCAAATGTAGAGAGAGCTGATCCAAGGCAAGTAAGAAGAAAAGAAATCCCAATAAAAGCTAAGAGAGCTGATCCAAGGCAAATAAAAGGGAAAGTGATCCCAATTTGAAAGCAGAGATCTGATCCAAGACAATCAGAAGGCAAATGATCCAAGCTCGAAAGTTAATAAAGTAGAAATCTGATCCAAAGTAAATATGAGAAATAGATCCAAACTCAAAATATAAAAGCAAACCTGATCCAAGGCCAATCAGAGGGAAAGAGATCCAACTTTGAATGCTAAGAAAACAGTGAGCTGATCTGAGGCAAATAAAAAAAGAAAAGAGATTGTGTCTCAAAAGCTAATAAAAGCTGAGTGCTTATCTGAGACAAGGAAAAAAAGCATTCAGTGAGCTGATATGAAGCAATTCAGAGGGTAAGAGATCCGAGCTCAAAACTAATATAGCTGAGAGCTGATCCATTGCAAATGAAAAGGAAAGTGATCCCATCTCAAAAACTAACAAAGCAGTACAATTGTGAATCAGCTAAGCCAGTCATGGCTGGCAGACAATTTCTGCGACCACATCACTCCTTACATCTGGCCACCTACCCCGCACCCAGACTGCAACCCCCTTGATTATTATGTGTGGGGCACAGTTGAGTGAGAGACCAACAAAACTCCTTGTAGCACTAAAGATTAACTGAAGGCAATGATTATGGCAGCATTCACCAACTTGAACAAGAAGAGTTGCAGGAGATTCCAAAATCATCTGCTGGCTGTGATTGAAGACAATGGCGATTTTATTGAATAAATTTACTCTTTAGTATTTCAAGATATTTTTGTGTCATTTTGGTAAATATATCTGTTAAAATGAGATGTCAGTATTATTTTTATTTCTGCATAATTTAGATGACAATTTATCCATCAGACTCTGTAGATCTGGAAATTCAGACAAATTTTAAATAAAAACATGATGCAATTTTGTGTGTGAGTAAAAGTGTGTGTGCACAGGTATTCTCTGAAATTGTCCTCCCTCGGCATTATTGGGATGCATTGACATTAAGTCTGGCCTTCCTCTTCTATTTAAAAGAAAGAAAGAAAGAAAGAAAGAAAGAAAGAAAGCATTACTGGCCTTCCTCTTCTATTTAAAAGAAAGGAAGCATTACTGGCCTTCCTCTTCTATTTAAAAGAAAGAAAGAAAGAAAGGAAGGAGGGATGCATTACTGGCCTTCCTCTTCTATTTAAAAGAAAGAAAGAAAGAAAGGATGCATTTAAACATTAAGTCTGACCTTCCTCTTCTAGTTAAAAGAAAGAAGAGGTACTACCTGAGGAAAGGCTCTTTGAATGAAACATTAGTTTTTGTTTTTTTGTGAATCAGACCAAAAGAAAGAGGCAGACCCCAAAAATACTTGACGTAGGGGGATAGTGGTGATTTTCTAAGCGTAGCTTAGATGTGGCACAAGGCCGAAAGTATGGGGCACCCAGTGAGGATCGAACTCACTATTCAGTCGTAATTATTCTAGTGAAACAAGATTTCTCTAACCATTACACCACGTTTAAGTGCTAGAAAACATAAGGTACTGGAAAAAAGATGTCCAAAGAAAAAAAAAAGGTGGTGGGGGCACTTAAACGTTCATTATCAAGACAATAAGTCAGTTACTCTTCAAAAAGCAAAAAGAAAGCAGAAAAGATGTACCAGATATATAGCGTAGAAATTCGCTAAAAAATTTCTTTTTAAATGCTTGAAAAAGCACAAAGATGCACACACAGGCTTTTTAATGGCAGTGTATGATTATTAAAAAGACAAAATTTTAAAAAGTAAAAATAAAATTTTCTTGATTGACAAATAAATTAATAATCAGTGAATTTATTAAATTTTAATTTTTTCACTAGATTACTTCCATTTCTTCCTTTTAGTTTTCACTCAGGGTATTTTTTTTCAAAGGCTGCAATGCTGATCAAAATCAAGACTGGATTTTTATTTTTAAATTTTCTCTAAATTATTCATTTTGGGCTTCCTTGACAGAGAGAGAGAGAGACAAGATCCGGGAATATTTGAATTGTTTACGATTTATTTAAAATACGTTCTTCTAGATTTATATACAGAACGTTGTTGGTATCATCAATAATTAAAGAATATGGTGAAGAAAAGAAAATACAACCAAAGTAAATGTAAATAATACGTTTTTACTTCTTTTTTTTTCTTTTTGTAACTTAACGTGTTTTTGTAGGCAAATCAATTTTCCTGAGTAATGTGTTCTTCAGAAATGAATTATGCCTTTCAGTTTCATTAACTTTTTTTCTAGAAGTTTTTCATTTTGGATAAAAAGCAATTTTTAAAATTTATGCGTAAATATGGTTCTTTAAAATTTAAATTAATAAAAAAGAAAATATAAAAGGAAGTATAAATCTTGTTTTAGTTTTCTGAAGGTCAAGGATAGGAAATGTGACAGTGACACTCACTCAACAAGTTACTCAACCGTTACTTTTAAAATTTACAAGTCTTCTTAACAAATTATTGAATAATAATAATAATAATTTAATGGCGATTTTTTAAAAATTATCACTTTCAATATTCAACAAGTTAGAAAAAATATTTTTCTGATATTTACAAAAAAGACGTATAATTAAAAAAAATATTTTTAAATTTTACTTTTTGGATTGTTTTTTAAAGTATTTAATTTATTTACTCAACTGGCATAAATTAACTTTTAAAAAGCAATCTTAACACATTTTGAAAGGTTTTTGTTATTTTGTACATAAATAAAGAAAAACAAGTGCCCCCCCCCAAAAAAAACAAAACGAATAATTTTTAAAACTTCTTGAACTAAAGAAAAAATCATATATAATATCATATGTAATTTAAAAATAATACTTACCTTCGTTTATTAACGTTTGATAAACTTAAATAAGACATGGTCGATGTTTTAGTGCCAAAAAAAAAAACAAAAAAACAACGTAATCACTCTCGACTTAACCGAACGTTATGTTTTTCTTTTTAAAAACTTAAAAAACAAAAACTTTTTTTTTCCTGATGAAATAAAGAATCCTGGTTCTAGAAATAGAATTAAATTAAAACGATAAAAACAGTTCAAGACATTTTTTTTTCTTAAAGCACAAGAAGAAGCAAACAAGATTGCTTCATTCAACCAACATGCGAAGTCGTTGATGGAATGTGGCTGAATAGGACACACATGCACTTGACTTATCAGTCAGTGGTTGTTTTTAGTTTGAAACGAATTTCTTTCCTTTCATAAAGTGTCTCTTTTTCGAGAAATTATTATTGTCACCCCACTTCTTTTTCCATTATAATTTTAAAATATTTTACAGGGATTTTTGTAGTAAGTACTTTCACTTTTTTTCTGTTATCCAATCCAACGCAGCTGGCTCGATGATATTTTTATTTCTGTTAAAAAAACACCCATCTGGCTCGACTGTCCCGCTTTTCTACACAATCATTTAGTTATCAAAGAAAATAAAACTGTACGTACTACTCACTGTCTAAGTGACTGCGTTTCTCTCATTAGTACTTTGTTTTAAATTTATATACTAAAGTTAAAGTACTTAACTAAAATAAGAGACCGGCGAAAATATATTTGAAAAAAAAAATCTAATTGTAGCATTTTGAAAAAAGAAAAAGATTTTTTTTTTTTAATTTACTCGTAAGAGTGTTTTATTTGCTTAACCGCTTTCTGGGCTGGTTTGCTATCTTGTGAACATGGAATCAAAAATAAAATACTCAGCACTTGTCTTTTAAAGTTGCAGCATGGAATCCTGTCTCGCCCCGTTAAGTGCAATGGAGAGGTACTGCCTGAAGGTCTTGAATTTAGCAACTTAATTCGATGATCAATAGACTCTTCTTGATCATCGAATTAAGTTGCCAATTTTGTTATATAATGGAGCACAGCTTATTTTAAATTTGAATGATTTTTAAAATCTGCATATTGAAATAAAATATTAATTAAATTACTGCATCAACCACGATGCTCTAGTCTACAAAGTCTTCAACGTCTTCCTTTTTTTACTAATGTTTACCTAATCCAAGGCCAAAGAGCCACTTAAGGTAGAGGGTTATTGTGTGGCGTTGTATGAGTGTAAGAAATGACAAAAAGTGAAGTTATTGGGAGCGATACAGAAAAGATAACAGCTAGCTCTAAATTTGAAGGAAGAGGTCAAGGGTTATATAGGGAATAACATTTCAGAGTTCAGTCAGAGACGTTAGAAGTATAGTGTGGAAGTAAACTTTAGTAAACCCAATCCTAAACATGAAACAAGGGATAAACCTTTGCTACTGTTTAAAAAAAAACAGAGAGGAGCGTGAACCGGGTAGTGGGCTAACCTATCTACTCCTATTGGAAGAAAAGAAAGAAAAAAATTAGTAAACAAAATTTCAGAGCTCTGGAACTGGGAATTAAAAAGAAAACTAAAAGATGTCTTGTTGGTCTGTAACAATGAATGCTATTATTAAGCTAAGCTATAGCATTTTTGTTTAAAATCGTTATTGCAAATAATTTTCAAAATAAATCAAAAAACTTTTTTTTTCCCGAAACTTTAACTTTCAAGAACTTTCATAAAAGTTTTTTTTTTTTTCATGTGGAAACAATCTGAAAGTTTCACTCCAGAAAACAAGGCCTCCTGGGTATGACGAAAAACTACATCCGGCAGCACGGCCGCTGATCAGGAGGTTTTGAGGTGCGTGGGACCACCTCTTAATTGCTCATATTCCCAGATCTACCTTGACTTGGGTTGGTAGCACTTGTTAGGGTCCCACAAATGGACAAATAGTTGAACCCCCCAAAACTGAGATCAAAACGTGTAAAAGGTTTTAATACTAGTTAGTAAAAAAAAATATTACCAGCAATAAATTTTTGAAGAAAAAATTATTACCAGCAATATATTATTATTACCAGCAATACTTTTTTAGAAAAATATTACCAGCAATAAAAATCTTGTCGGCATTTAAATTTAAAAAAGGAGCTATTATTTTTTTAATTATTCTGTATGTTCAAAGATTTCTTGAAAAAAAAACCGGTTTTCAACAATCAAACATTACTGAATCACGAATGTTCAAAAAATATAGGTGTGGTTGAGAGTTTTGGTGGGAGATTTACACATATCTAAAAATAATCCAACCCATTCTATAAACAATTAAATAAACCATATTACAATCTATTTAGTTTTACCTCGTGATATCAAAGCCAGTATTTATTTAGAAACATAAACAAACAAAAAAATGTACATTAACTCTTCTTAATACACAGAAATTTCTGGTTGTTGAGTTATGGATAGATAGGGTGATGAAAAAATATTCCAATTGGTTGTAGATGTTAGTTAGCATTCCAACGCTAGGTTTAAACAATTTGGTGCTGCAACTAGGCATAATCTTTATTTTATTTTTTATAAGTCAAACACTTAAGATCTCTAATATCTATAAAAAAAAAAGAAAAAAAAGATTTTTAAAAGTTGCGGTTCCAGTTTGTTTTGTCAATTTATTGTAAACTAGCTTAGATACTGTCCTTCCATCGAACTTCAGGTAAGCTAGCTCCTGTGAAGGGCTTTTGGACCTTCGACCTTTTACCTTCAGCGTCATATGTACGCAAAAGTTATCAGAATTTAACTAATAAAATTATTTTATCTTTATTCGACATTTTAATTTGGCATAATCTTTCTTCGTATACGCAACCGATCTCCATAGTTTTTTTACACATTTATTTTGTGCACAATTTTTCTTTCTTTTTTTTTTTTTTAAATCACCATTCTTTATGATTAATTCGCAAAAAAAGTCACTCTTGAAAGACATTAGGGAACCCGGACTATGTAATATCTCGAATACGTTACAGTACGCATGCTATAAAATTATATATATATATATATATATATATATATATATATATATATATATATATATATATATATATATAGATAATATTAGTGGAAAATATACATACATATGCAAAAATATATATAAAAAAATTCCCATACATGTATATTTCAGAAAAAAAAAAAAAAAATTTTCAAGAGGAAGGATCCAGGTAGAACTCAATGTCTAGGACAGAGTAAGGATATAATAAAAAGGCTTAAACACTAATATTCCATGGTCATAATTTATTCCATTGGAATCGTAAATACGATCCAAATCATCAGACCTACAAATTCAAAATGAAAACAGAAAAAAACAACTCCGGAAATCAAAACAGAATTTAGAGAAAGTGTAAGTATGAGGAGGAGGGACATGAAACCTTAACAGAGAGAATTTTTGGAGATGTTTAATTTAAAAAGAGGAGAGAAAGAAAGTCGACGGATGTCTAATGCATAAAGATACATTTCATGGTGACATATACACACCATAGACAATAAGGATATATATATATGAGCAATGCTTAAGTTTTAATTAGACGATATTAATTGGGTCAAAAAAAATGAAATTAAAGTTAAACCTTTAACAAATAATTGTTTTTTAAACCTTTCACTCTGTTCGATATTTAAATTTATCTTTAAATGAGTTGTTTTTTTTTTCATTTTTAATCACGCGTAACTACTGTTACCTGTTACTTCAGATTGTTTATGATTCTCCAAGATTGAAAAACGGACGGACACACGTACACTACAATTTATTTATATAGACTAGTTTTAACGCGTGAAAATTTCACCTTCTTTTATTTGAAATTTCTAATGAATATTCTTAATCCTTCAGTTAATGCTTGAATAAGCACATGATGAGTTCTATGTCCGTAGAAATTCCCCCTATCACATCGTTAAAATATGTGAGCTGAACAACTTTAACAAAATATTGCAAATATGAATACTGGTCGTTATTTTAAGGAGTGGGTACAAATGAAAAGATTTGAAATTGACAACTGTTATAGACAAGCGTATGGTTGCAAGAAAGAAATACGACAACAGTAGAAATAGATTTACGTGGTTTATTTCAACAGGAACGTGAGGGTTTGGGACAGCTACCTTGTGGTAAAGTTCATAAGCCGGCTTTCGGATCTGGTCGATCTCTCATAGTAGTTCACACATGTTGACGGTGGTTGACGCTCCCCTGCTGCTGATCGCTCGGCCTGACCGTCATGTCTGTTTGCTGCCTGTTGAACACCTTTTATAGCGTGTTTTTTATGACTTAACAGGCTCTAGAAACGAAGCGAGTATAATTAGGACGGAAGCATTTTTATTGGACGAAAAATAGAGCACTTTAATTATTATTTTATTTTTCGACCGGAACACGTGTGTCGGAAACATTTGTAAAGAAAGATAATGGTCATTTTGTGACGGGGCTTTGTCCCGTTCACATCCGCTTCTCGCTCTTGAGTATTTGCCTGTAAATCAGCCGAGATATGTCTTATTTTATTTTATAACACAACTTTTTCCATTTCACTGAAACAGACGTTAAACACTTCTGTCTTCCCTTCTTTCTTTCTTTCTTTCTTTCTTTCTTTCATTTTCTCACTGAAACCAAGTCTGTTCCTCTTTTTCCTGTGATTAAAATGCAATAGTCCATTATTAATGAGCTAATTAGCAAGAGATGTTAAACACTTCTATCTTTCTTTTGTTCACTGAAACTAAGTAGCGTCTCTGATATGTCTTGTTTTACCACGCGATTAAAACGAAATAGTCCATTATTTATGAGGTATTGGCAGTGCGTAGCGGTCGTGCGAACTAAGGATCTAACAAAGGGAAGAACAAGCACAATTATTATATGATAGTATAAAATATTGTTTATTAGTAATATAAAATAATTAATTAAATAATGTATATAAATAAATATTAAATAAACTGGGTTTGTTTTATGCACTTATTTTTGAGAGAAATTTATTGAATGAAAGCCAGAAATTTTGTGAGCAATTGTTTCATTTGTGTGTAAAAAGTTTTCTTTATTATTATTTAGAATTGACTCTGAAAAGGACCGCTAAAATT